GGGGCTGAATGGCTTGCTGATCCCTGTGAAGGCCCTTTGGCCTTTTTAAGGAACGTGTGCAGTCCCTGTCCACACCGTCGCACAGTGGCGCCCGTCATCCACGGGCTCATCGTGTCCGGGCCGTACTGTGAGCTGGCTGCTAGCTGGGGCTCTCGGGCGCGTCCTGTCAGCCTGATGTGTGAAGCATTCGGTCTGCGGGTTCACGGCGCCCCACGGGCCTCCCCCTCATTCGGGAAGCAGGAGGCAGAGCTGCGTGGATGCCTGCCTCCACCCCCAGGGTCACGTCCCCGTACCAGCATATGGGCACGCGATGGAGGGAAGCTGGGCACACGGCACCCCCGTGCCACCAGCCGTGCTTGTCTGATGGGCACGGATTGGATGCGGCTCGGGACAACGTCTCCCTTCTTCTCCGGTCCTGTGTCCTGACTGTCTACTTGTGGATGGACGATGGGCCATCCACACAGGACACAGCTCAGAGCCTGCTGGGCCCAAAGGACACTTGGTGTAGTTGAGAAGGGCGCAGAGGTTGCAGACAGCGCGTGTGGCCTGATTGCCCCACACAGGGCGGGGGGCCGCGCGTGGCTGGGACGTCAGGGGCGAGCGGGCGGCAGAGGCTGGTCTCCCCGGGGCTGTGGTGTGCCCGTGCCTGGCAGAGCAGCCCCGTGAGTGCCCGGAAAAGTGCAGGCCAGCTGGGAGGGGTCATTGAGCAGAGGAGCGCTCAAGGACCTGCGTCCCACCGTGCTGAGCTGCGACTGTTTATTGTGCCGTTTGGGCCTCAGCCATAATAGGTCATAGGAACGCGGTGGAAAAGACCTCCTGTATGAGGTCATCCAGCCCGTCCCTCGGAGCCGACTGACCCCACAGTATACTTTCCAGAGCTCCGTCCAGTTTTTCCAGTGACTCAGCGGCCCCCAGAGGAGGGCGCAAAAGGCTGGTGTCTGAGCCTGCTACCTTGGGCCAGGATTTCTTCCTCGGCGCCTGGACGGAGCTCCCGGGGATGATGCCGTTGTTTGCAGAGAGATGTGGGCTGCGTCCTGCCTCTGTCACAAGCACGTGTGACTGCAGATGGCCTCGGGTCCCTCTCCAGCATGGGTGCGGCGCGGGACTCCTGCCACTGAGCCTTCCGGGACTTGGCGGGGGCACCTCACATCACACTTTATAGTTTTCACAGCTTGTTCACATTTGTGAACTCATTCGAGCCTCCCCATTCCTGAGGACGGACTTGATCTTACTATCCTCTGGCCACCTCCCTGCCTCCATTCTGGTCCTCGTGTGCCAGACGAAGCAGCTCGCCCACGTGGTGGTGGGCAGTGCCAGGCTGCTTCGTGTGAGCTGAGCGCACGGACACCGTGGCCACGCCCTCCCTCGCTTCCTCTGGGTGCCGCGTGCTCTCCTTGACCTGGGGCCGCTCCCAGGCTGCAGCGTCCCCTGGCCGTGCCCATGACGTTGATCTCCGTGTGCAGCGTGGTGCGCTGCCAGCTCAGTTAGAGCTGGGACCCTCGCTGCTGACATCCTTCCCACGGGACAGAGGACTAGGAGCACGGCCGTACACGGTCGATCCACTGCGAGTTGGTAAACGGGCACCCAGGACTCCTCTGATGATTCACAGTCTGCAGTTCCTTTGTCTTGACCTAACCAGGGATCTGAAACTTTCCCTAAAAGAGGCATTAACATTTATTGCAAGTAGTTGGTCATTAAGATTGCTCTTAAAATCGTTCCTTTTTGTTGTCAGCTTGAGGATACTAAATTTTTAAAGGCCCGCTCACCACGCATGTGGTTAAAGTACATTTCACAATGCGAGTAGTCTCGATAGGATTGCAGTCAAGTGGCTGTTCTCAGCAGTGCGTGAGACGTATGAAGCGTGATGTGAGTCCCAGAGAGGGGGTAAGGGGCCTGGCCTCCAGGAGCCCCAGGTGCGCCCACAGGGTTGTGCTGTGGTAGCTGATTCGTCACCTCGAGCTGCGGAGGGATCTGTGAAGTGTTTCCAACAGATGGGCAGGACAGGGGTTTGGCTTTTCTTCCACTTCCGTCTGCAGCTAGGTACGTGGGTGCAGACAGGTAATGAAGACAGGGATTGGGTCCTGGATGGTCCCTGGGCCAGCCGACCCCCCGCCCCCTGCTATGCTGTGTGGCTGGAACAGCAGTGCCTCAGGGGCCTTGTCAGGAGGTGTGGGGGCTGTGGCCTGGAGCGGGGCCAGAGGGCTGATGCCTCATCTGCTTCAGCTCTGACCCCCCAGGGCTCAGAGGGTCAGAGCTCCCCGGGGGGGGGGGGTCAGTGCTCCCTGGGGGGGGTCAGAGCTCCCTGGGGGTCAGTGTTCCCTGGGGATGAGAGCTCCCTGGGGGTCAGTGCTCCCTGGTGGGTCAGTGTTCCCTGGGGATCAGAGCTTCCTGGGGGGAGGGGTCAGTGTTCCCTGGGGGGGGTCAGTGCTCCCTGGGGGTCAGAGCTCCCTGGTGGAGGGTCAGTGCTCCCTGGGGGTCAGAGCTCCCTGATGGGGGGTCAGTGCTCCCTGGGGGGGTCAGAGCTCCCTGGGGGGGTCAGTGCTCCCTGGGGGGGGTCAGAGCTCCCTGGGGGTCAGTGCTCCCTGGGGTTCAGTGCTCCCTGGGGTTCAGAGTTCCCTGGGGGCGGTCAGTGCTCCCTTGGGGTCAGAGCTCCCTAGGGGTCAGTGCTCTCTGGGGGGGTCAGTGCTCCCTGGGGCGGTCACTGCTCCCTGGGTGGGGTTCAGTGCTCCCTGGGGTTCAGAGCTCCCTGGGGGGGGTCAGTGCTCCCTGGGGGGGGTCAGTGCTCCCTGGGGTTCAGAGCTCCCTGGGGTTTAGTGCTCCCTGGGGGTCAGTGCTCTCTGGGGGGGTCAGTGCTCCCTGGGGTTCAGAGCTCCCTGGGGTTCAGAGCTCCCTAGGGGTCAGTGCTCTCTGGGGGGGGGGGTCAGTGCTCCCTGGGGGTCAATGCTCCCTGGGGGCTCAGTGCTTCCTGGGGGGGGTCAGAGCTCCCTGGGGTTCAGTGCTCCCTGGGGGGGGTCAGTGCTCCCTGGGGTTCAGAGCTCCCTGGGGTTCGGTGCTCCCTGGGGGTTAGTGCTCCCTGGGGGGGGTCAGTGCTCCCTGGGGTTCAGAGCTCCCTGGGGTTTAGTGCTCCCTGGGGGTCAGTGCTCTCTGGGGGGGTCAGTGCTCCCTGGGGTTCAGAGCTCCCTGGGGTTCAGAGCTCCCTAGGGGTCAGTGCTCTCTGGGGGGGGTCAGTGCTCCCTGGGGGTCAGTGCTCCCTGGGGGGTCAGTGCTTCCTGGGGGGGGTCAGAGCTCCCTGGGGTTCAGTGCTCCCTGGGGGGGGGTCAGTGCTCCCTGGGGTTCAGAGCTCCCTGGGGTTCGGTGCTCCCTGGGGGTTAGTGCTCCCTGGGGGGGCTCAGTGCTCCCTGGGGGGGGTCAGAGCTCCCTGAGGGGGGTCAGAGCTCCCTGGGGGTGGTCAGAGCTCCCTGGGGTTCAGTGCTCCCTGGGGTTCAGAGCTCCCTGGGGGTCAGTGCTCTCTGGGGGGGTCAGTGCTCCCTGGGGGTCAGTGCTCCCTGGGGGGTCAGTGCTTCCTGGGGGGGGTCAGAGCTCCCTGGGGGTCAGTGCTCCCTGGTGGAGGGTCAGTGCTCCCTGGGGGTCAGAGCTCCCTGGTGGAGGGTCAGTGCTCCCTGGGGGTCAGAGCTCCCTGATGGGGGGTCAGTGCTCCCTGGGGGGGTCAGAGCTCCCTGGGGGGGTCAGTGCTCCCTGGGGGGGGTCAGAGCTCCCTGGGGGTCAGTGCTCCCTGGGGTTCAGTGCTCCCTGGGGTTCAGAGTTCCCTGGGGGCGGTCAGTGCTCCCTTGGGGTCAGAGCTCCCTAGGGGTCAGTGCTCTCTGGGGGGGTCAGTGCTCCCTGGGGCGGTCACTGCTCCCTGGGTGGGGTTCAGTGCTCCCTGGGGTTCAGAGCTCCCTGGGGGGGGTCAGTGCTCCCTGGGGGGGGTCAGTGCTCCCTGGGGTTCAGAGCTCCCTGGGGTTTAGTGCTCCCTGGGGGTCAGTGCTCTCTGGGGGGGTCAGTGCTCCCTGGGGTTCAGAGCTCCCTGGGGTTCAGAGCTCCCTAGGGGTCAGTGCTCTCTGGGGGGGGGGGTCAGTGCTCCCTGGGGGTCAATGCTCCCTGGGGGCTCAGTGCTTCCTGGGGGGGGTCAGAGCTCCCTGGGGTTCAGTGCTCCCTGGGGGGGGTCAGTGCTCCCTGGGGTTCAGAGCTCCCTGGGGTTCGGTGCTCCCTGGGGGTCAGTGCTCTCTGGGGGGGTCAGTGCTCCCTGGGGTTCAGAGCTCCCTGGGGTTCAGAGCTCCCTAGGGGTCAGTGCTCTCTGGGGGGGTCAGTGCTCCCTGGGGGTCAGTGCTCCCTGGGGGGTCAGTGCTTCCTGGGGGGGGTCAGAGCTCCCTGGGGTTCAGTGCTCCCTGGGGGGGGGTCAGTGCTCCCTGGGGTTCAGAGCTCCCTGGGGTTCGGTGCTCCCTGGGGGTTAGTGCTCCCTGGGGGGGCTCAGTGCTCCCTGGGGGGGGTCAGAGCTCCCTGAGGGGGGTCAGAGCTCCCTGGGGGTGGTCAGAGCTCCCTGGGGTTCAGTGCTCCCTGGGGTTCAGAGCTCCCTGGGGGTCAGTGCTCTCTGGGGGGGGTCAGTGCTCTCTGGGGGGGGTCAGTGCTCCCTGGGGGTCAGTGCTCCCTGGGGGGTCAGTGCTTCCTGGGGGGGGTCAGAGCTCCCTGGGGGTCAGTGCTCCCTTGGGGGGGGTCAGTGCTCCCTGGGGGTGGTCAGTGCTCCCTGGGGGGTCAATGCTCCTGGGGATCAGAGCTCCCTGGCGATCAGTGCTGGTTAGCCGCAGAGCTGAGACCCAAACCCAGGATGGGAGGACAGAGTGTTTGTCATCCCCACTGACTCACAGAATTTCCTAAGTACTGTAAAAGTGATGGAAAGAAATAGCATCTGTTTTTGAGAGTTTAAGAAAGGGCAACCTCTCCCGCTCTGTGTGCCACTCTTGCAGATCCTGAGGAAGCTGAAGAGTCTCGCCCTGGACACCGAGATGGAGCTGGAGAGGCAGGACGAGGCCCTGGACGGCATCACTGCAGCTGTCGACCGGACCACCTTAACCATCGACAAGCATAACCGACGTGCCAAAAAACTGACCTAGGACAGAAGAGCAGAGAGGTGCCTGGTTTTGATGACAGTCACTCCCCTGAGTACTTTGTTCTCAACACCTGCACATGTCCTTCACATAAAAACCTGGAAAGTCATTCCAAGGGCGGGTTAGTAGTTGGAGGCCCTGGGCCAGGAGGTGCAGGCTTGCCTCAGGGTGGAGGATCCCGACCACTGCACATGCAGGAAGAAGGAGCTCCAGGAGAGGGGAGTTCTGCCTGCAGACCCGGCGAGCACCCCCAGCACCGCCCCTGCCGTGGTGGCCCCAGCTCCCCTCCCTCCCGCTCCCCACTCCCCACAGGCCCCGCTGCCTTCTCCCCTGGCTCCCTTCTTCCCCTCCCTCCCCTCAGTCCCCGGCTCCCCACACATACTTGAGCCCTTCAGAGCGTCCCCAGCAGCAGGAAGGCTCTTCCCTGCAAGGCTGGCTGTCCCCAGTGCTCGGTGGCTGCTTTGCATGCTTAGCATGGCCACTAGCGGAATTTTTATTCTCTCTGTTCTTGCTAGGTGTAAAGGGGCCATTTAAATCCCTATGACAGAAATGTGCTGATTTCTGAGTCTGCGCTCCTGAACCCTGCATCCTGTGTCAGCAGAACCCCTTCTCCGGGACCACAGACAGGCCCGAGCCTGTTCCCCTCTGGGGGCTGCTCTGCATGGGCCCCTCCATAGTCACTTTGTTCTGTGACTTGTTTTGTTCTCTGATAGGCCGGTTTCTTTTTGGTTGTACTGTGACTTTTTACCTGAAGTCCAGTACATCTCGAGGTCATCCTGTGAACACTGGGAATATTCTTTTCACTGCCCAGTTTGTAGCCAAGTGTAAAAATAATACACACAGCACCTATTTAAAAAGTGTTGATTTTTTTCTTTAACTGCCCCATTTCTATCCAGAAACAAGAGAGAAGTCATAGTTTTAGAATATATTTTGAAGATAGGCATTCATGCTGCCTTTTGCTTGGTTTTGGGTGCGTTAGTGGGAGGGCCCCTCAGGGAAGGACGGATGGGGGCAGAGTGGAGAAGTGGATGACCCCTTCCCTTGTCATAGCAGAACAGGCCACCTCCAGACTGCTTTGGAATAGCGGCCCAGAGGGCAGTGCGCAGAGAGGTGCCGTTGGGCCTTGTCGAAGTGTCCCTTTGAGGCGCCTTTCCTCTGGATCTCCTCTGGCAGGCCCTATATTGGCATTCTGAGTCCCGGGTGGTTTGAAGAGTAAATGCACAGGCGCAGTGCTAGTTTTCTGGGGCTGCTAATGAATGACCACAAATGGGCGTCTTAGGACAACAGGCATTGTCCTCTCCGGGTCTGGAGGCCAGGAGTCTGTGGTCAAGGTGTCACAGGGCCGTGCTCCCTCTGAAGGCTCCAGGAGGCTCCCTCCTGCCTCTCCCAGCTGGAGGGGGGGACCCAGGCGTTCTGGGCTCGTGGCCGCGTCTCCCCAGTCTCTGCCTCTGCCACTGCGTGGCCGTCTCAAATCCCCCTCTCCCTTCTCTCGTCAGGTCAGCCTTTGCATTGTGCGACAGTTTCCGCTAGGTCGCATTCCGAGGTTTGGTGGGGTCCCCTAGGAGTGCTCAGCTTTCTGGAGGCTGACCTGTTCAAGAAGACACAGGAAGGAGCAGTTCCAGAGAAGAACCTTCCCAGGGGCCTTCTAATTCTTCACTCTTTGAATGTGCTGAATTCTGGTCCTAGTCTCCAGCTGCCTTCTTTGCTCTGTACTTGCCAGCCTTCCAAATGAGAAGTGCGCCTGTCCTTTCAGGGTTTCCGACTCCAGTGCTGGTGTGTGAGTGGCTGCTCCTGGCCTTCCCTGGCACAGTGAGGGTCCAGCACAGCCATCGCAGAGGTCGCAGCCCCTGGCAGCTGCTTCCGCTCAGGCCCAGCGCTGGGGAGGGCAGGGAGAGCACCGCTGTGTGCGGATGCGGCAGCAAGGACAGTCACTGAGAGCTCACACAGGGCCCAGAGGCGGTGGCTGGACCGTACCCCCTGGCGCGGGGGATGATGCCGGAGGAGAGGCAGCCCGGGCCCCGGGCCCAGGGCGAGTGCAGGGGGCAAGCCGTGTGCCCAGAAGCTGCAGCTTGTCCCAATAGCCCTCGAGGAATGGCGACGTTCCCAGAGGTGGAACATACGGTTCTGAGCCACAGCCGCATTCTGGGCTTGCACCAGGGACTCAGAAAACGCACACACGCCCACCGACCCCAGGTTCCTCAGTCAGAATCTCTATGGGTATGCATGCTTCTCGAGTGTTTCTAAGGAGCAGGCCAGGTGACTTACTGCCAGCAGGCCTGCTCTCTCTCCATATCTGTCTGTGGAGGGCCCTGAGCAGCCAAAGGGAAAGCAGACCTGCCCCACCCTGCTGCTGTTCTGAATCCCAGGAGGGCGCTGCTAGGGAAGTCCCGCCAGCGTCCACTTGTCCTGAGGACACGCACTGCCCAGCACCTGCATGGCATGGGGCTGCACACACTTGGGCCAGTGACAGGACTCTGCCCGGAACAAGCCTCCTTTTCCAGCACCTGGGGATGCTTAAAACCCCCGGCACTGGGCATGAAGGTATGTGGGACCAAAGGCATTGTAGCATTTTTAGAGGACTAGTCTCTAGGCCATTCTCTCCCACAAATACTTAAATGATAGAGACTACGGTCTTTCTCTGCAGAATTAGAGTGTTAGAAAGAAAGGTCCATCAGGATCTTTTCATGGTACCTACTAACCTTGACCCCAGACTTAGCTTGTTCACCTTAGACCCTTCCAGTAGCAAAAAATCCATTGCCAAACTGATTTGCCTGGAGCCTAAGCGCAGAAACCTACCTGTTGAACTGACTGCTAGTCTCCAAGGCAGAGGCAAAAGTGCAAAAACCCTATGAAACCAGGCAATAACTCCAAAACCCACTACTCCCAATCTCAGCTGTACACCACCACCTCCCGACTGTTCCCACACCACAGCTGCACTAACTCCGCACCCATTGCTCCCCATACCAGGTGCTCAAACTCCACCCCCCACTGCTTCTCACCCCAGGTACTCTAACTCCAGCCCCCACTGCTTCTACCCCAGGTGCTCTAACTCCACCCCCACTGCTTCCCATCCCAGGTGCTGTAGCTACACCCCTCACTGTCCCACCCCAGGTGCTCTAACTGCACCCCTCATTGTCCCACCCCAGCTACTCTAACTCCAGCCCCCACTGCTCTCTACCCTAGGTGCTCTAACTACACCCCTCACTGTCCCACCCCAAGTACTCTTAACTCCACCTCCCACTCCTTCCCATCCCAGGTGCTCTAACTCCACCCCCCAAGGCTTCACATCCCAGATGCTCTAACACCACCCCCCACTGCTCCCACCCCAGGTGCTCTAACACCACCCCCCACTGCTCCCACCCCAAGTGCTTTAACTCCACCCCCCACTGCTCCTCACCCAAGTGCTCTAACTCTACCCCCCACTGCTCCCCACCCCAGGTGCTCTAACTCCACTCCCCACCGCTTCCGATCCCCAGGTGCTCTAACTCCACCCCCCACTGCTTCCCATCCCAGGTTCTCTAACTACACCCCTCAATGTCCCACCCCAGGTGCTCTAACTCCACCCCCCACTACTTCCCATCCCAGGTGCTCTAACTCCACCCCCCCACTGCTCCCACCCCAAGTGCTCAAACTCCACCCCTCACTGCTTCTCACCCCAGGTACTCTAACTCCAGCCCCCACTGCTTCTACCCCAGGTGCTCTAACTACACCCCCCACTGTTTCCACCCCAGGTGCTCTAACACCACCCCCCCACTGCTTCTCACCCAAGTGCTCTAACTCCACCGCCCACTGTTCCTCACCCAAGTGCTTTAACTCCATCCCCACTGCTTCCCATCCCAGGTGCTCTAACTCCACCCCCCACTGCTCCCATCCCAAGTGCTCTGACTCCACCCCCCCACTGCTCCCCACCCCAGGTGCTCTAACCCCAGCCCCCACTGCTCTCTACCCTAGGTGCTCTAACTACACCCCTCACTGTCCCACCCCAAGTACTCAACTCCACCCCCCACTCCTTCCCATCCCAGGTGCTCTAACTCCACCCCCCAAGGCTTCACATCCCAGGTGCTCTAACACCACCCCCCACTGCTCCCACCCCAGGTGCTCTAACACCACCCCCCACTGCTCCCACCCCAAGTGCTTTAACTCCACCCCCCACTGCTTCCCATCCCAAGTGCTCTAACTCCACCCCCCACTGCTTCCCATCCCAGGTGCTTTCACTACACCCCTCACTGTCCCACCCCAGGTGCTCTAACTGCACCCCTCATTGTCCCACCCCAACTACTCTAACTCCAGCCCCCACTGCTCTCTACCCTAGGTGCTCTAACTACACCCCTCACTGTCCCACCTCAAGTGCTCTAACACCACCCCTCATTGTCCCACCCCAAGTGCTCTAACTGCACCCCTCACTGTCCCACCCAAGTGCTCTAACTGCACCCCCTCACTGTCCCACCCCAAGTGCTCTAACTCCACCCCCCACTCCTTCCCACCTCAGGTGCTCTCACTGCACCCCCCACTGCTGACCACTCCAGGTTCTCAAACTCTACCCCCCATTGCTCCCACGCCAGGTGCTCTAACTCCACCCCCCACTGCTTCCCACCCCAGGTGCTCTAACTGCACCCCTCACTGCTCCCACCCCAGGTGCTCTGACTCCACCCCCCCACTGCTCCCACCCCAAGTGCTCTAACTCCACCCTGCATTGCTCCTCACCCAAGTGCTCTAACTCCACTTCCCTACTGCTTCCCACCCCAGGTACTCTAACTCCAGCCCCAATTTCTCTCTACCCTAGGTGCTCTACTACACCCCTCACTGTCCCACCCCAAGTGCTCTACCTCCACCCCCCACTGCTTCCCATCCCAGGTGCTCTAACTCCACCCCCCACTACTCCCACCCCAAGTGCTCTAACTCCACCCCCCACTGCTCCTCACCAAAGTGCTCTAACTCTACCCCCCACTGCTCCCCACCCCAGGTGCTCTAACTCCACTCCCCACTGCTTCCCATCCAGGTGCTCTAACTCCACCCCCCACTGCTCCTCACCCAAGTGCTCTAATTCTACCCCCAGGTGCTCTAACTCCACTCCCCACCGCTTCCCATCCCAGGTGCTCTAACTCCACCCCCCACTGCTTCCCATCCCAGGTTCTCTAACTACACCCCTCAATGTCCCACCCCAGGTGCTCTAACTCTACCCCCCACTGCTCCCCACCCCAGGTGCTCTAACTCCACTCCCCACCGCTTCCGATCCCAGGTGCTCTAACTCCACCCCCCACTGCTTCCCATCCCAGGTTCTCTAACTACACCCCTCAATGTCCCACCCCAAGTGCTCTAACTCTACCCCCCACTGCTTCCCGTCCCAGGTACTCTAACTCCAGCCCCCATTGCTCTCTACCCTAGGTGCTCTAACTACACCACTCACCGTCCTACTCCAAGTGATCTAACTCCACCCCACACTGCTTCTGACCCCAGATGCTCTAACTGCATCCCCCACTGCTCCCACCCCAAGTGCTCTAACTCCACCCCCACTGCTCCTCACCCAAGTGCTCTAACTCCACCCCCCACTGCTCCTCACCCAAGTGCTCTAACTCCACCCCCCACTGCTCCTCACCCAAGTGCTTTAACTCCACCCCCCACTGCTTCCCATCCCAGGTGCTCTAACACCACCCCCCACTGCTCCCACCCCAAGTCCTCTAACTCCACCTCCCACTGTTTCCCATCTCAGGTGCTCTAATTCCATCCCCACTGCTCTGCACCCCAGGTGCTCTAACTGTACTCCTCACTGTCCCACCCAGGTGCTCCTACTCCACCCCTCCCTGCTTCCCCCCTGATGCTCTTAACTCCACCCCCCACTGCTCCCACCCCAGGTGCTCTAATGGCACCCCTCACTGTCCCACCCCAGGTTCTCTCACTCCACCCCCCACTGTTTCCCACCCCAAGTGCTCTAACTCCAGCCCCCACTGCTCTCTACCCCAGGTGCTCTAACTCCACCCCCCACTGCTCCCTACCCCAGGTACTCTAACTCCAGCCCCCACTGCTCTCTACCCCAGGTGCTCTAACTGCACACACCTCCCACTGTTTCCCATCTCAGGTGTTCTAATTCCATCCCCTCTGCTCTGCACCCCAAGTGCTCTAACTGCACCCCTCACTGCTCCCCTTCCAGGTGCTCTAACTTTATCCCTACTACTCTTCCCTTTATGTGGGCTCACTCCACCTCCTACTATTCCCTAGTTTGGGTGGACTGGCTCTGCCTCCACATTTTGGACTCTACAGAGAACATAACTGAGAGTGGACACTGAGTTGCTCCTGGAAGCTGGACAAGGGGAAGCGGGTGAGCAGTCAGGCTCGTGATCTCTCCTGTGATCCTCCGGTAGCCCAGGCATTGGTGTGATGGCTGGAGCTAAGTTCTCTGCATCAGGTGAGTAGATTCTCTGGAGAGTGTGAGGAGGACCACACTGGGACTATGGTCAGCAGTAGCTCGCTGTTTGGAATGGGGCCTATGGCATCTCCTTCCTGTTTTACTTTCCTAATGTGGACCTGGAACTCTGTATATGGGGCTGAGGTCACCCATGTGCTTTATTCCTGCACCAAAATCTGTTTGCCCTTGAACTGATGGGGTTGGGTTATGTTGGTCTGTTGTCACCCTGCGAGGTGTTTGCACTCGCTAAAACACAAGGTGATTTGAGCTCTTTTTTACTCGACATACCTGTGGGCCAAAAGCAAGACTCTTGCAGCTGTGGAACAGGCATTGTGCTGACGTGAAACTGCTGATTCTCAGTCAGGACCTAACAGTCCTGAGCTAATCAGTTTGTTCGGGGCAGGGGTGGGCGCACTTCTTCTATAAAAGGCCCAGAAGCAACTACCTCATCTTTTGAGCCGTAGGATGTCCGTTGCAGCATCTGGGGTATGCTGTTTCCAAGACAGCAGCCTGGACTTGTGAGCAAAGGGGCTTGAAGTGTTCGGATAAAGCCGCCTGCGACCTTCAAGTGTGTCATGAAATGTTATTCTTGTTCTGATGCTGTTCTTTGAACTAACTGAAGTTTAAACACGTCCTAGCAGGCAAGCTGTAGGACAGGCGGCAGGCCCACCACCCACCCAGGGATGTGCGTTCCTTAGGAGGCTGCACTTGGCCTTCTGTCCTGGAGGGCGACACACTGCCCTCTTCAGCCCCAAACTTGAGTGTGGCCTGAGCCAACTGCAAAGCTGAGTCCAGGGTCGCAGCTGGGAGATCCCCACCCCGTTCCCGGGCTGTGCTCGGCTGCCCCGAGCTTCAGAGGTTGCAGTGATGTCACATAGTCAGTCCTGTCCCTTTAAAAGGCAGACCTAGGAGGGGGTGGAGAGAGGGGAGGAATGACTGGTGCTGGTTTCCACAAGTGACTTTCCCTACAGGCCCCAAATCCGCACACGCAGGAATTTTAGGAGAGGAAAAAACAAACATCCTTGAGACATTTGCAAACACCACACACACAAAAAGCCTCGACTATATGCAGTCAGGGTGGGGGCTCTTGGTTGGGTTTGGAGTTTGATAAAATGCCCTCTCGGAGGCAGTTCTGTTGGTGGGGACGTCAACCCTGGCACAAGACCATCAGCCTCACCTGCGAGGAGCCCCCTCCATCCTCACCTGCTGCCAGTTTAATTATTAGCTATAGGCTTGAGTAAAACTTGAAAGACACGCAAATTGTAGTCAGTTTTCACATTTGCAACTGATTTCCACATCCACATAATATTTCAGACTTTTGGCACCCATCTGGAAACTTGGGACAGCAGCGAGCCTGTCGAGGAGGTAATTTTCCCTGATTCATTTTGAAAGTGAAAAGCCACAGGGCTGGAGGCAGGGGTGGTCCTGCTTCCCAGAAGGGCTGCTCAGTCTCGTCCCTTGGTTTCCTCAGCACACGTAGGCAGACAGGAGCAGAGCGAAGATATCGATTTGCAGATCCCAGGAGCTCCTCCCAGCCCGGGAGAGCCACACAGGGGTCACACTCGGTATCCGGGGTGGAGGGCCCTGGTGCTAGGTGAGGAGCCCCGGGCTGCAGGACCAGAGTGGAGACTGTGCCCTGTTGGCCTGGCCTGCACGTCCAGGGCTCCAGCAGGTGTGGATGAGCATGTCCTCAAAGCATGGTTGGTGCCCCGTCATGCACAACTGCTGTCCTGGGCAGTGGCTCCACACTGACCCTCTGGCATCCTCCCCCACCAGCTTCCCCAGGGTCCTTCAGATTCTGCTTGGAGCAGGCGGGAAGGTTAGGAAAAGGGCATCTTTCCTAGAAGGAGCAAAGGGCTCGTGTCCGTCTGGTTGCAGGGTGCAGAAACCCAGCTGGATGCGGAGGAGGGTCAGGGCCTCACAGGCTTCCCCAAAAGTGCTCAAACAGCCCACCACCACTGCCCTTGGGGCCGCCCCACCCACCCACAGTGGCCTGGCCATGCAGCTGGCTCAGGAGGTTGGTGAGGCTCAGAACCCTTGTTCTGAGACACTGGGGCAGATGGCCTGGGTGGGGGGACAGCCACAGGCGCTGGTCCCACACTTTAAGGCAAGGAGGTGAAAATTAAGGGGAGCCTCCCTAAAGTGGACTCCAATGCTAGCCAGGGAGGCCAGAAGGGGGAGCATGAAGAGCTGTCATTACAGACCCCAAGGGAAGCATGCCCAACCAGAAAGAGTCATCAGTTACAGGCCCCAGAAGGAAACGGTGTGCATTACATGTTCTATCAGAAATTGACTACCCCTTCAGTCCAGCTGATGAGAAACCGTTAGAGTGTCCAGAATTGCAATTCTCTGTTATCCCGGAATAAACCAATTCTTGCTGATAAAATAACTATTTTATTTGAATTTCCCTGATGGCTAGTGATGTTGAACATTTTTTCCTGTGTCTGGTGGCCATTTGTATGTCTTCTTTGGAGAAGTGTCTGTTCATGTCTTCTGCCCATTTTTTGACTGGATTATTTGATTTTTGGATGTTGAGTTTGAGAAGTTCTTTATAGATCAAATCAAAACCACATTGGGATACCACCTTACACCAGTTAGAATGGCAAAAATTGACAAGGCAAGAAACAACAAGTGTCGGCGAGGATACGGGGAAAGGGGAACCCTCTTACAATTTTGGTGGGAATGCAGACTGGTACAGCCACTTTGGAAAACAGTATGGAGGTTCCTCAAGACGTTACAAATAGAACTACCCTACCACCCAGCAATTGCAGTACTGGGTATTTACCCCAAAGATACAGGTATAGTGAAAAGAAGGTCCATATGCACCCCAATGTTCATAGCAGCAATGTCCGCAATAGCCAAACTGTGGAAAGAGCCGAGATGCCCTTCAACAAATGAATGGATAAAGAAGATGTGGTCCATATATACAGTGGAATATGACTCAGCCATCAGAAAGGATGAATACCCAACTTTTACATCAACATGGATGGGACTGGAGGAGATTATGCTAAGTGAAATAAGTCAAGCAGAGAAAGTCAATTATCATGTGGTTTCACTTATTTGTGGGACATAAGAAACAGCATGGAGGACATTAGGGGAAGGGAGGGAAAAATGAAGGGGGAATCAGAGAGGGAGACAAACCATGAGAGAATCTGGACCCTGAGAAACAAACTGAGGGCTACAGAAGGGAGGGTGGTGGAGGGGTAGGGTAGCCCGGTGATGGGTATTAAGGAGGGCATGTACTGCATGGAGCACTGGGTGTTATACGAAAACAATGAATCGTGGATCACTACATCAAAAACTGATGAAGTACAGTATGGTGACTAACATAACATAATAAAAAAATAACTTTTATTTTTAAGGTTAACAAGGAAAAGCAGGGAACGTATAGCCTCATGACATCCCTCGGATATCGCCATTGGGACCTCAGGCTGCGTTTTCCAGTGGACATGACACTCTGGTTCCAAATGTGGCAATAGCTCTGAGAGTCATTGCCAGGGAATGAGATACTGGGGTCAGGCAGGAGGTCAGGCCCCGGCACCATCCCCAAGTGCTGAGTGAGTGCTTCATCCACGAATCAGACACTCACGTCTGCCACCGTGTGTGGTCTTGCTCTGACACCTCTGGCAGATACTGTCCACTCTGCACTTTAGTGTTAGGGTTAGGGTTGGTCTCTAGGGATCAGGACACTTGCTACCAGGGCGTCTTGTTCTGCTCCCCCAGCAATTTCTCCAACCCCCTCAGTGACAACTGGCCAATAGGAGCGAGGCTGCAGGGAGGACAGTGTGTAGGGAAGGGAAGGGAAGGTGGCTCAGATCGCAGGGTGGGGCCCAGAGGCACCAGGGCTGCTCAGGGTGCAGAGCCAAACCCACCCTTGTATGCCTCATCCCATAAGAAATTGGTTTCCTTCTGGAGTCAGTGGCTGCCTGCTAAACCCACAGACCAGCTTTCTTCCTGACTGGCTTATCCATGCAGGACATGACCCTGACAAAGGGTGCCACTGAGGGGGTTGGAGAAATTACTGGGGGAGCAGAACAAGACGCCCTGGTAGCAAGTGTCCTGATCCCTCCAGACCAATCCAAATCCAGAGGTGCCCGACTTGCAGCCTACTTGCTTCATGTGCTTGCAGGAGTGTTCAGGTCATGAGAAAAGAGATCATGGCATCTTGTCCAAGCTCACTCTGACCTTTGGGTTTGGCAAAGTAAGTGCTCCACCCTTCTGTATTCACACCCTGACCCTAGGATGCCTACAGTCCAAGATCTGCTGCCATGAAAATGCTCGGTCCTCCCTTGTTACACTGCCCAGCATAGGAACACACCGCTCACCATGTACAGACCTCACAGTCTCAGTGGGGTCTCCCCCTCACCCACCCCTCACCATGCACAGACTCACAGTCTCAGTGGGATCTCCCCCTCACCAACCCCTCACTGTGCACAGAACCCACCGTCTGGGTGGGGTCTCCCCACCACCCACCCCTCACCATGTACAGACCTCACAGTCTCAGTGGGGTCTCCCCCTCACCCACCCCTCACCATGCACAGACTCACAGTCTCAGTAGGGTCTCCCCCTCACCCACCCCTCACTGTGCACAGAACCCACAGTCTCAGTGGGATCTCCCCCTCACCAACCCCTCACTGTGCACAGAACCCACCGTCTGGGTGGGGTCTCCCCACCACCCACCCCTCACCATGCACAGACTCACAGTCTCAGTAGGGTCTCCCCCTCACCCACCCCTCACTGTGCACAGAACCCACAGTCTGGGTGGGGTCTCCCCACCACCCATCCCTCACCATGCACAGACTCACAGTCTCAGTAGGGTCTCCCCATCACCCACCCCTCACTATGCACAGACTAACAGTCTCAGTGGGGTCTCCCCCTCACCCACCCCTCACCATGCACAGACTCACAGTCTCAGTGGGGTCTCCCCATCACCCACCCCTCACTGTGCACAGAACCCACCGTCTGGGTGGGGTCTCCCCACCACCCATCCCTCACCATGCACAGACTCACAGTCTCAGTAGGGTCTCCCCATCACCCACCCCTCACCATGCACAGACTCACAGTCTCAGTAGGGTCTCCCCCTCACCCACCCCTCACTGTGCACAGAACCCACCGTCTGGGTGGGGTCTCCCCACCACCCACCCCTCACCATGCACAGACCTCACAGTCTCAGTGGGGTCTCCCCCTCACCCACCCCTCACCATGCACAGACTCACAGTCTCAGTAGGGTCTCCCCCTCACCCACCCCTCACTGTGCACAGAACCCACCGTCTGGGTGGGGTCTCCCCATCACCCACCCCTCACCATGCACAGACTCACAGTCTCAGTAGGGTCTCCCCCTCACCCACCCCTCACTGTGCACAGAACCCACCGTCTGGGTGGGGTCTCCCCACCACCCACCCCTCACCATGCACAGACCTCACAGTCTCAGTGGGGTCTCCCCCTCACCCACCCCTCACCATGCACAGACTCACAGTCTCAGTAGGGTCTCCCCCTCACCCACCCCTCACTGTGCACAGAACCCACCGTCTGGGTGGGGTCTCCCCATCACCCACCCCTCACCATGCACAGACTCACAGTCTCAGTAGGGTCTCCCCCTCACCCACCCCTCACTATGCACAGAACCCACAGTCTGGGTGGGGTCTCCCCATCACCCACCCCTCACCATGCACCAACTCACAGTCTCAGTGGGGTCTCCCCATCACCCACCCCTCACCATGCACAGACTCACAGTCTCAGTAGGGTCTCCCCCTCACCCACCCCTCACTGTGCACAGAACCCACAGTCTGGATGGGGTCTCCCCACCACCCACCCCTCACCATGCACAGACTCACAGTCTCAGTAGGGTCTCCCCCTCACCCACCCCTCACTGTGCACAGAACCCACAGTCTGGGTGGGGTCTCCCCATCACCCACCCCTCACCATGCACAGACTCACAGTCTCAGTGGGGTCTCCCCCTCACCCACCCCTCACTATGCACAGAACCCACAGTCTGGGTGGGGTCTCCCCATCACCCACCCCTCACCATGCACAGACCTCACAGTCTCAGTGGGGTCTCCCCATCACCCACCCCTCACCATGCATAGACTCACAGTCTCAGTGGGGTCTCCCCATCACCCACCCCTCACCATGCACAGACTCACAGTCTCAGTAGGGTCTCCCCCTCACCCACCCCTCACTGTGCACAGAACCCACAGTCTGGGTGGGGTCTCCCCATCACCCACCCCTCACCATGCACAGACCTCACAGTCTCAGTGGGGTCTCCCCATCACCCACCCCTCACCATGCATAGACTCACAGTCTCAGTGGGGTCTCCCCCTCACCCACCCCTCACTATGCACAGACCTCACAGCCTGGGTGGGGTCTCCCCCTCACCCACCCCTCACCGTGCACAGACCTCACAGGTGAACCCAGAGAATCACAACCTACTAGAACAGACCCCCCCTTGGGAACCAGAGCCTACACTCTAACAGACAGGTGTCTGGAGGCTCAGTGTGGACCAGTCTGAGAGTTAAGACTCCAGGGGTGGGGAGCCATACCAGGTTCTCACAGGAAAGATTAGAGAAAGCGTCCCCTCATGTTCCTGGCAGGGAGGGGGAGTAGCCATCGTGAAATATGCCAGAGCACCCGCCTGTCTTCCCAACGGGGATCAGATTTGGAAGGGAAATAACCTGCAGCTTGTGGTAGCCATCTGCCCCACCAGCGGGGGTGCGAGTGGGACCGAGAAGCACAGATGAAGGTCACAGTGGAGGCACCGGCTCACTGAAGCCCGAGACCTCTCCACACCTCACTATATCACTAAAGGCCTGTTTACAGTGGTTCCTTTCACTTGGTATATCATGTCTCGCTATCAAGAAAAAAATCACCAGGCACACTAAAAGACAACACAGTTTGAAGAGACCGTAGCATCAGAACCAGGCAAGGCAGTAGTGTTTGAATTATCAGCCAGGAATTTAAAACAGCTAAGGACTCTAGTGGATAAAGTAGACAGCACCCAAGAACAGATGGGCAATGTGCTCTGAGGGATAGAAATGCTAAGAGAGAATAAAAAGAAAATGCTAGAGATCAGAAACACCATGACTGAAAAGAGGAATGCTTTTGACAGGCTCATCTGTAGAGTGGATGCAGCTGAAGAAAGATTCTGTGAGCTGGGGGATGTGTCAACAGAGATTTCCAAGATGAAAGCAAAGAGAAACAAAACCAGAAAACAAGGAACCCAGATTCTCCAAGGTCTGTGGGACAACTACAAAAGGTGAAGTATACATTTGAGGGGAAAACCAGAAGAAGCAAGAGAAGAACAAAAGAAATATTTGAAAGTAATAACAACTGAGAATCTCCCCCCGCATTAATTCCAGACACCAAACTACGGATTCAGGAAGCTGAGAGTACGCCAAACAGGATCAATGCAAAAACAAAACAACAGTGAAAAACCCTAAACCTAGGCATATCACAATCAAACTTTAGAAAATTAAA